AGTGTATAATCTTCTGGCATACGTGTTGTCCTCAGACATGCACATACACACAGATAAAATATCTGAAATGTTATATACAGGGAGTAAAAGACCTTTCTTTCCTTTGCTAAAAAATCCCACAGGCCCCTTTGCTCTCCCACCTTGCTGTGCCTGCAGTGTTTTTTAGGGCTGACCTCAGAGATGCAGCCATCCCTCTCTCCCCAGCCAGGCTGCCAGAGCTGCTGAGGGATGTGGGCTCAGTGTTAGGTGGGGATGGAGGACAGAGTGTCCTTGCTGCTGTGGCCAGGTGAATATCCAGACCCATTGTCCAGGCAGAGTGCCAGGAATCATGCTATTGTCAAGCTTTGGGAACACTGACTGATTTTTAAATACATTTATTTATTTATTTATTTATTTATTTATTTATTTATTTCTGACCATTTCTAAGTCTGCATCTGCTAGTAAAGTACCGCTGCCACAGCCTGTGGTTCTTTGGAGATTAAAAATGGGACACTTCCAAATTTTTATGAGATTTTCTTGACTGTGCTAGATTAACCTTTAGGACTTAGTGGTCCTTTTCAGCCTAAAGAATGTTACTAGAATTAAAAGAAACTTGCAAGGTTTCGTCTGGATTTCTTCATTTTCTCAAATTAATTGAAATTATTTCTGATCTGCTTTGTTCTGTTTCTTAAAGAGTCTGAAGGCCATCTTAAGCAAAAGGAAATTAGTAGCAGGGCAGAGCTGCATATCTGTGTCTCATTTGTAACTCCCATGGGAATTTCATGGGTCACCACCTCCTCCACACAGACATCATTACCTAAGCTTGATATATTTCTTTGGCATATTTAATGGGGTTTATATGAAAGGATATATTGCAGCCATCAACTATAAGGTTCAAGTTCAAAAATGTTTTAAGAGATGGAGAAAATTCACTAACTTGACTGTTCAACCCAGCTCCAAACACAAGCTGTATTCTCATCTCTACTAAAATATACACTTTGACCCAAAGTGTCCTTAAAGCACACTTTGGGTCAAAAGGTTTCATGAAACACAGTTGAAAGAAGCATACATTGGTAAGTCTGGCACTTATCTTTGGCAATTTGAAAGAGAGCTTAATACCTGCATCAGCTCTGTAAATAAAGGCACCTTTAACAAGCTCTGAAACTTTCCTAACTAAAGAGGAAAATGTGCCATTGTCACTTGCAGTAGATGTCCAGACTGGAGCTGGGTGGCTGCAGCCTGTGGGGCTCTGCTGTCCTTGCAAGGAGGCTGAGAGGAGCCTGAATGAATGACAACAAAGCAGATGAAAGGCTGTTTCAGCTGGACAAGCCCACATTCATTAACTGGCAGCTCTGCCCAGCTGGTTTATGATTAATTCTGAGTGCCATCCGAGGGGGAGAAGCATCTGTGATGGCTGTCAGCCGTCAGAGGGCTCCATCCAGCACAGCCCTGCCTGTCACAGGCTGGGCAAGCCACCAGCCCTGCTGTCAGGCTGAGACTTTGGGTAAGAGCTCAGCTTCCCATCAGGGCTTGCTGGTTCAATGTGGTCATAAATAGGAAGGGAAACACATGTTAAGTATCCTTTTCCTTTCCTGTCCTTTCCTTCTGGCGTTCAGCCTACAGCTTTGTGATTTTAGGATGAAAGTCACTCAAATGGTTAATTTATGATTTCTTTCCAGTGAAATCTTGTAAATCTGACCTGAATCCAGCAGAATATCTCTGCTATTTCTGTTGCAGCTGTGGGGTTAGAGATTTCTCTAGGATCTGCCCTTGGAGGCCTCACGGACCTCATATGAGCCCCACTCCAGGGGACTCAGCCTGGGTGAAGGTTTCTCTCTGGCTCTGTGTTGTATCATCTTGAGTAAGAGTTCCCAAATCCCAGCCATTGCCACAAGAAATCTGCAGCAGCAAAATGAAACATCACACCTTATCTAAAGTATGTTGTTTTCTGAAGCTACCATTGGCAGTATATCCATAGATTTATAAAGTCACTTTCTGGAACTGGATTAACTCATACCCTTGACCATAAAAATAACCTGAGAATGTAAACATGTTCTATTTCAAAGGTGATTATTTTGAATTTTTATGTTCTTTGAAAACAGCTGCCTCTTGGAAAAGTCCTAAAAGGATGTTTTCACTTTGTCTTTTTTTCTTATTGAACATGTTCTTTGGCATTGGAGTTGTTGAAAGAGCAACTTCTGTATGAGATGTGTAAATGCATACTCTGTGTGGGCAGGCTCTTCATATTTCACAGAAAACTATGACAGTCCTATTCTTGGGCTGAGATTTTTTCCACTGATGGGGACTGGAGTATTCTGAAGCTGTGTTTAGCAAACAAAGCTAACCTGGAGCCTAAAAATACACATTGCATTTGCAAAGGGCCTGTGAGCCTGCCAAGGTAACCCTTTTGTGATATAAATCAAGGCAATACTGTAATAGTTGTACATCTTGGACCCATTGCAGTTACTGACAAAACCCATACCAAAGAAAGGTGGTGCTTACTGGAAGATCAGATTGCAGCAGTCCTACCTGCAGCCCCTTTGTGAATCATTGGTTTTTTCTCCTTCTGCTGCCCTATTACCTGTCATACCTGAGTGGAGAAGGTTCTTGGGTCTAGAATCAGTCTTTTCTGAAATATTTGCTTGACAAATGCACCTTCCAGAGCAGAGCCAGGGTTACTGATGGAGGCCCTGAAATATTAACTACCCAAGTCATTACATAATTGATACCTGTCCTATATAGCAATACCTTTACTATTAATGGTATGTAATTACTTGGTATATAATAATAGTGTCTATTAGAATTTAGTATCTATCTATAGGAATAGCATCTATTAGTAATAGTGTCTAATAATATCTACAGTAATAGTGTCTATTGCTAGTACTGGTAGTTAGATTTTGCTTGTCTCCTCATTGAGATCAGTACATGCTACCACTGCTCATACCAGCAAACCCAGAGTGGGCTTCACCCTAACTTGTGTTATAGTAGCATAAAGACTGAAATGAGGGGCTTTGGGGCTTTTTTTTTACCGTCTCACTTAGGTACAGTATTTTTCACAATAAAGCTGTTCCACAGATTTTCAGGCTTTTCTTCTAAAAAGGAGAACCCAAATTTTTTATAACCCGGGACTGGAATTTACTCATGAGGATGTGACAAGTGTCATATTAGAACTATAGCTGTACATCTATATTTAATCTTATATTTGCAAAATATTTAAAGAACAACACTTTATTTTTTTTAAGTAGCAGTACAACTCCAGTTGTACTGAAAAAAAACTCCTTTTTTTCTGCAGAAAAAGAATTGCTGGTAGAGATATCTTAACAACTAAGCCACATCAGGCTAGTTTTGATATTCTTATTCTCATTGAATGATAATAATCCTACTGAAATTTAAACTAGACCATGAAATGAGGTGATACTAAGAAAGATTATGTTGGAATGTGGCCTAAAATAAAGTAATAATCACACTTTATACCTTGTTAAATTACAAGCTGTCCATTACCTATATACTACACTATTTTGTACCAATGCAATATGTTCAAATTCAGTCCTGAAATGCAGACAACCACAGAAGCTGTGTGTTAAAAATTGAAAAAATTGTTTACAGCTGCATAACGGTGACTGAATTCAGGTTACGCTGATATAAAACTCAACTCTATCTTTGTATTTTATTACAAATAAGTACTGGAGATAGGTGACTCATACCTCTGTTACTTTTTAAAGGACATTGTCATTTTCAGTACATATTTAAAGTTTGAATTGAAAAATATACCATTTTTAAAAATAAATCTTCTGCCTTTCTCTTAAATTGAAGTTTTTGACTGAGTTGCAAACTTGTGAGGAAAAGCTGAGGAAGAGTCTTCATTATGAACCCTTCCAGAATTCAACTGACTCAGGTCTCAAAGACATCACAAATAGTGTTTCAATAGAGAAAAAAATATCTGAATGACATGAACTACCCCTGAATGCTGCTGAATCCCACTCCTCTGGGCAGCTCTTTCCTGTGCTTCAGGACTGAGAAAATGCCATCCCCATTAACATGGGGTGGTGGAACTGAGGTAATATATTTTCTGAGACATTTGAAAAACTAGAACTCTGTTCTTCCCTTACCTTGAGATGTGACTAATATCCAGCCTGCAATTGATTTGCACTCAAATCTAGCAATTTCATCAGGTTTGTCTTCCCAGAAACTTAATTTAGAGATTTTCTATTAATACCAGATACTTCACCATTGGCTTTTCTTCTTGGCTCCCTGCCACCCTTCAATGCACAGACACCCATTCCAGCTGCCACTAGCCAGAGGAAGAAACCAACAGGCATAAATAAATATTTGCTATCCTTGGAAAAACCTTTGAGGAAGGTTCTCACTCTGATCAGAGATGTATTTCGCAAGAAGTAAATAAGATTCAGAGGAAAAAAAGACAGTGTATAAATGCACCATCTTAATATCTTCCTTTGCGAGTTTCGGTCACAGCATACTTTGATGGAAGTTTACCTCTCAGAAAACATTAAATACACTGCCAAACACAGCTGAGGTCCTGTCTTACCAGTCAGTCAGTGACAAAGCTATCAACTAAGTTTGGCTTGTGGGGTATTTATTCTTAGGGATGATGCACAAATCAGAAATACAACAACCTGGTTGCAGCTCCAGAGGAAATACAAGTCCATGTGTTGTGGGACAGCTTCTCACTTCCCACTTAGCACAGAAGTGCCTAAAGTGATTCAGTTCACAGGGAAGGTGATGGCCAACAGCACTGAGTGCTTTCCTGGTGGCAAGTGGGCTGTAGCAGGACCAGAAGAGGCTATTTGTAACAGACTTCTGGAACAGAGGGTAGAGAAAACAAGAAATGCTTGATCCATTTTCTGATGTGATCAATCTGGAATGTTCGAGATTCTGCCTGTGTCAGAGCCACATTTAGAGCTTAGAACTCTGCATAGCGTTCTGTGAAATGGCAACTTCTCTTATTCTGTAAGAAATGGTTGTGCTGTTCAAGACCACAGATGAGTGTTTGTATTGAACAGATCTGCCTTGTTTGGAACAGAAGAAGCAGCACTGCAGAGCATGCTGCCTCCTTGGCCCTCCTCCACCGCCCCTGTTCCCACCACCGTACTTCAGGCACGGCTGGAGCACTGTAAGTGTGACTTTCACTTCTTTTACATGAGCTTTAATGACAAAGAATGAAGCATCCTCTCGAGCACTGCCTCATGGTGTCACTCAGCAAACCTGCCTGGCTGTGCTGATGTGGCTCTGTGAGGACAGTCACACAGCATCCCAGACTGGGGCTTGAAGTAAATGTCAAGTGGATCAAGGAATGAAATGAGGCTGGATTTGTTCCTGCAATTAATTCAATTAACTTTAAATATTTCCCTTACTCTGTATTGAAACCTTCTTAGAGTGAGGCAATCCTGAACCAGAGGAAATGGCAGGGCAGTAAACCAGTAAGGACAGAAAGGCAATTTTCCATCCTGCACAATGATTTCTGGGTGTATGTCCTGTTCTGCATCACATTTGCCTTACCTAGTAGGTGAAACGAAGGTCCTGAAATCCTCCTGTGGAATCTACCCCCACCATTTCATTTTGCAGAAACACATATGTGTTTGAGATGCTGGTATCAGTTTTCACTCAACCACCTATGCACAAACCTGCCATGTGTGATAAATGCCCATGCACATATGCTGACATAAGCATGTTCAGGATACAATGGGAATAAGACATAGCAATTTGCTCAAGTACTCTTACTGCAGGTTCTTCTAACTACAACATATCCTCCATCCCAGCATAAAGAATTCTTCTACCTGCTCAGTAATTCCTGTTCCTTAATTTTAATGTTCATTTACCATATGCAAACACTGCAATTATTGCTAGTGTTCTAAATAAATGATGATTAAATAGTAAATAATGTAAACAATTTAAATAATATCAATAATGTAAATAATAATGTAAATAAATAATAATATAAATGATAAAAATAGTAAATAATGTAAATCATAATAATAGTAAATAATGATTAATAAGATGTCAGGCAAGAAGTAACCCAAGAAAAAGTATGGTGTAAAATCCTCCATTGCCTTCTGACTGATCAGGATTGAACTCAGGCTGCTGATCTCCAGGCCTTTCTCATTACCTCCCGTGCCTGTGCCTTGATTTCCACAGAAAGGAGATCCAAAGACAGGATCTCTTTAGGAATGTTGTGTACTCCTTCAGTAAGAATGAGACTGGGACCAGGGTCTCTGAGATCCCTTCAAGCAGCTTAGAGAGTAACCTGAGCCTAAAATCACCCTTCACACCATCTCCCCGTGAAAACATGATATGAAAATAAGCAGTTACAAGCAGGGTGGGAGCCATGTGAATTAAACCATGAGCAGTTTGTTCTTTGGAGCCTGTAGTCAGAGCTTTACTGGAAAATGGCCTTTCTCTAGGAAGCTGAAGATCAGTTGTTTTGGTCCGGTGTTTCTGGCTCAGTGTTCATCTGTATTTCCAGGGGAGATCACTTTTTGCACAGGACATAAATAAGGCATTTCACTCATGAAAGCTTCATGTTGAAGCCAGAAGGTCAGGCATTCATTGATCATTTAAGGCACTGGCTCTGATCTGCAGTGAATGGACACCTGCGGGTCAGTATCTTCTGGAGCGAAGTTCGCGCTGCCTGAGCCCTCCCTGGCTGAGGTATCTATTTTTGGAGCAAAGATGCTATTCCTGGAGAGGAGCTGCTGCTGGCAAAGTGGGACAGAGAGGGCAGGGTCAGGTCTAAGAATAGGCCAGGGTCCCACGCTGGCTCAGAGGGGCAGCCTGGCTGCAATGTGCCTCTGGGAGAGGAAGAGGAGGAAGAGGGGGAAGAGAAGGAAGCATGGGGAAGGAGGCTATGCTGAAGAGCTACTGTTCAGGCATCTATGAAGAGCCTTGTGACAAGCCCCAGACTTCTCCCAAAGGTAGCAAATAAACCCTTTTGAGGCTGTACTGTATGGTAGCTGGAATTTTATGCATTTCTCCAACAGGTTACATGTGGCTGCATGTTCACTCATATGTTTGATGTTTCATAGAAGCTGGATGTGGAAGAGCTGTGTCATGAGCTCCAGATAATACAGGCTGCCTCTCTGCCTGAATTGCACTGCTCTGCAGGGCCTCCTGGCCCCCAGGTGAGTGAGGCATGTGTGATGAAACCACATCATTCTCTCACTTGCTCCAAAGTCCTTACAAAGCTGTGAAACACATGAAAATGCTTTTTACCACCCAATAAGCATGCCAAGCTCTGGCTAAATTTCATTTTGATATGGCTTTGCATAAATCATGTAGGCTTTTTACCTTATGTTCTCATCCCTGCCTTACACACTTCATTCCGTTTCAAGTTCACCCTTCATTTTTGTGGAGTCTTACAGTGGGTAGCACCCATCAAAAAATCACAGATGTATCATCACTTCCTTCAGATGCTTCTTGTCAGTTTTTTCTTTGCTTTAGACTCTGTTCTCTTTTTTTGTGAGGACAAGAGCCTGTGGAGTGGATGCACAAGGTAAAAAACGGACTGGGATGTTGGCAGAGTATATCCCTGAGAAGGCAAACATCTACAGTAAAATCAGGGACAAGGAGGGACTTAGCAGGGTACTGGGGTGGGATTCAGGAGGTGCAGGGTCTCTCAGCTTTACCTGCAACATTTCTGCCTCTGACTTGCTGGATAACCTCAGACCAGTCTTTTTGACCTCACACCTCATTTCCTACAATTTATTCTTTCAGAAATCTTCAGAGGAAGGTCAGAAATCTTAGAGTCACATAGCAGTTTGAATTGGAAGGGACCTTTAAAGGTCAACAAGTACAACCTCCCTACAATGAACAGAGACAATACAACTATACCAGGTTGCTCAGAACCCTGGCCTTTTTCTTCTGAGGAAATGAGCCACCTCTAGAGGGAAGTTTTTTATGAACATCCCTGTATTGTAGGGATCCTCTGTTTGTCTTTCCATTCCAGTTCCCTCCAAAGAAAAGGGAAAGTTTTCATGGAGAGGCACTTCCAGTTCCTGCTGGGGCACAGGCAGTCCCAATCCATGTGCTGTGCCTGGTGCCTTGGGACAATGAGCTTCCTCAAGCCCCCTTGTGTGCCAGTCTATTGCCACACAGCCCATGGCAGACACAGCTCAGGGCCTGTGCTCAGGGAAGCTGTGGCTGAGGCTTTGGCAGCCTGAGAAGGTAACAAGCACCCGAACACTATTTAAAAAGTATGGACAACACACCAAAGTAAAGGCTCAGTTATGTGGCAAAAAGCTTAGCTTTAATTATTTATAAGTCAGTACTTCAGAAGATAACTGAAGAGTCTAGAAGTTTCAAGGTGAAAGCCACAAAGTCTTTTTATAGAATCATAGAATGGTTTGGGTTGGAAGAGATCATCCAGTTCCAACTCCCCATGAACTTTGTCTTTATTGTTTTGCCATTTTGTCTTTGCTGAAATGCAGGGTGGGGAAGATTCATTTAGTTCATGAGAGTGGAAAAGTGTGGTCAGAAGTGATGCCTCGTGTTTGCCTAGTTCTGTCTTGAGGAAAGTCTCCTCTGCATTATGAAACAGCCTTGCAGTGTGATTGGCCATGATCCAGAGTTGCTGTTCATATGAAAAAAACACTTGTTATTTCAGTCTTTGCTAGACTGTCTTAAAAAAAAAAAATCCTCTTGATAGTCTCTCTGACTTAAATTGCAAGAAAGTAATTTTAATTCTATTGTTCTACAAAGTCCATTGCTATAAATATTAATCTTGCTACCAAATGACCTATGATGCCTCCAAGAACATTTTTAAATAGAGCAGGCTGGCAGGTTTTATCATAACAGCAGACAGTAGGATGGGTATAACATGGCTGTGGAATTTTTAATTACAAACTACAGGACTGTGCCTTGTACAGGGGCAATGTTAGAACAAGCAGTCTTTTGAGAAATACTTCTGTGACAATGGTCACCTGCAAAGGAATACTACCATTACAAAGATATCTAGTAATTACTTCTGAATTCTTCTGTAGCTTGCAGGGCTTTCAGATGAGTTGCAAAAGCTCATACTGTTGACTCATAACTGAATTTTAACAAATTTTCATAAGAAGGAGAATTAGATTTGTAATGGTATAACTTTGAGTGTAATTCCTCCCATGTGTATCCTAAGGTAAAAAGAAATAAATAAAATTAAATTTGATTCTGACTCTAATAGGGTGCATTGATTTTCACTACCGAAAACCTGAAATAACTCTACTAACTAGTTGGAGTAATTTGTGTCTGAGTTTAGGTTTTGCTCCTATTCGTGTACAATTTGATCACATTTTGGACAGTGTAAGACAGGCAGGATCCAAACCTGGAGTAAGTGATTTTTACAGTGAATCTGATGTTTGTCTAATGCAGGCTCATGGGATTATTTTCCTTAGTCATCTAAAAGTAAAAGATGATCTGCAAAGCAAAGCCTTCTAGAAACAAAACTGTTTTCTGGCCGTTTTTTTCTGAGAAAAGTGTTCAAGGTCTCCCTGCATTAAGAAGTCTCCTGAAAGGAGAATCATCCTTGTTTGACAGAGGGAAAGTTTTTCAGAATTCAGAAATGATGCAATCCCAATGTCCATCGCACCCTGCAGAGCCCATCCCACATGTTTTATGCTACTCCCCTTACCACCCCTTGGGCTGACCTCTTTTGCCAGCTGTTGTGGGGTCTCCATGTCCTGGTTGCTAATTCTTCAGGACTCTGATAACTTCTGATAACTTTTCATTTGCCCCAGGCTTGTTTTTCTTGCAGGTTCTCCTCATTTATGAGTTTCCCCTGCCCTTCCCATTCCCATGTCAGTCCAACTCTCCATCCTGCTGTTCAGCAGTGGCACAGACCTGGTGTTTGGAGCCACATTCAAACACAACACCCAACACCTCAGGTCCTAGGAAACACATACGGGATCTAGGGCTGATGGAACACAAGCACCTCACCAATGCAGTTTAATAATAGTGTTAATAGTGTTAATAGTGTTCATGTTCCTCCCTAGGGTCCACAAGGAATTCCTGGTATAATGGGACCAAAAGGGGAGAAAGTAAGTGTCTGCTGTCATGGAGTTTGATGTGCTTTTGAGGAGCAAAGAAGCAGGGGAGGATGTTCACTTTTTTTTTGTCTGTTTAGTGAATGGTGGGCCTTATGAATGGAAGGTTTGGCTTTAATTTGAATGTAAAGCTATGAATTGGCTCGGAGCTATAATTTTAAACTTAGTCTTTCTGTGTTCATTTTCAGTCTTGAAGTATAATAGTCTTCTTTTGTGACCTGTTTAAGGTATGCTTTGAGAAAGCATCTCAGGTGCAAAACTCAGCAATTTTACTGACCCAAAGGCCTTGAGCTCCCTATTCCTCCTGGAGAACATCAGGAGCAGAGCTGTCCCATAGTGTGAATTGTATGGGAGAGCTCAGGCTTTAAAGTTGGCCTATGTGTTAAGTTATGTTTTAAGATGTGCAAAGATTTGTTCCATAATGATGCCAAAGAGCCTTACAGCTGAAGCTGAGCAGCTAATTGTGTGATTTGTTATTCAAGGAGTTGACTGTAGATTTAAGGCTGAGAACACAGGAAAGACCAAGGAGCTCTCATACAGTAATTCTTCTCGTTTTACCTCTGTAAGCACAGTTTTGAGCACAAAGATATTCACAGTGTTTTGTTTGGTGTTGTTTGGTTTTTTAGGGGAGGGGGCTGTGGGTTTGCATGTTTGTTTGTTTGTTTGTTTTAATAGAAATGCATTGATGCATTGACTTGAGAGCCACTGTGCTTCATGTGGTGACTGCAAGACTGACAAATTCCTTTCTCTGGCAGGGGGAGATTGGCAGGCCTGGAAGAAAGGTATGAATAAAGGTGCAGCCTCAGAAACCCATCCAATATTGAATAGCAGCAGCCAGAGAGGGGTGCAGACAACAGTTCAATAAAATTTAGATAATGTTGACGTTTAGCCTGTTAGTGCTTCTCTCAGTGGTACCCAGGGGGGATGGTAGGCATCTCTGGCTGCAAGGCTGGAGAGCTGCCCCAGCTGGCTTGAATTTGACAAATTCCCTAAGTAAAAGCTTGGAGAGAAACCAAAGAACATTACCTGAAGTGTCTGTGTTGACAATGGGAAGCAGATTATTTGAGTTATTATAAAAGATGTACCAAAAAAACCCCAAAACAAAATCAAACTTTTTACTCATTCAAAGTCTAAACAAGGCTCAGCCAGATACCCCTGAAGGAGGAACAGCCATTAATGATTACCCTTCCAGAGCTCTGGCACCAATGCAATATGCTGACTACAATCCTGTGCTTGGTGACATATGAGCTGTGATATATTGTCAAAAATATGTGCCCCTACATGTGATGAAACAGAATATGTTATCTCAGTCACTTAGTACATCCATTTAATGTAATTAACTTTAAAGAAGACAGAAATGCAGGATGAAATCAGAGATATGCAGGGGGTGGTCACTAACTAGGAAAAGAAGTACCTTTCTAATAATATACCAAGGATTTTGACACCTTTCTAATAATATACCAAGGATTTTGACACCAGCTACCGATCAGTAATTCAAATAAATATAAAACATATAAACAGAAGAGGTAATTTTCTTTAATCTATTTTCAAATGCCCTACAGTAAACAAAAATATTATTAATATAAATTCAAGGGTTCAAAACAGCAATGTCTTCAAGAGAGTGACACACCAACCTACAAAAAAGTGCTAAACTTTAAACACAGTACATCAACACTTACTCTTCTGACAAATACAAGTAGGTTCTGAAAGAGAAGTCACTCAGGTTGGAAATAAAACTGTACAACTCTTGTTAAAAGCTTCTGGCCCACGAGAGTTCACTCTTGGCCCTGAAAGTCATGATGACATTTCTGAGATCATATTGTCAAGTGGTGTAATGCAGTGGAAGAGCATTAATCTGCAGCATTTTAGGAGATATTCAAAGAGTGACTTACAAACAGCAATTAAAACAGATAAATAACTGTATGTACATATGTAGTTATTGCTAGTCTTATAGTAGTTAATAAAGAGCAAATACAGCTAGCAATGTTCAGAGTAAGGACCATAGTAACAGGAATAGTTAGTAGTTAGTTAAAGATTTGCTTCTGCTCTCAACATAAATTGGATTTGTAGGGATATAAGTACACACAGGTCATTTTATCCCCTGTCTGCAGCAGGGACCTGTGTAGGAGTGGTGTTTTTATGAATCATTGTAATCAGTGTTTTCCGTTCAAGGGCAGACCAGGTCCCCCGGGCGTCCCTGGGATGCCAGGACCAGTAGGATGGCCTGGACCTGTGGGACAGAAGGTAAGACTGAAATCCACATGGAACAAACTGCTCAACATCACCATCTGAACAAAAGGGTTGTCTTGGGAAATCTCTAAACAGCTACTTGCAGGAGGCTGGGAAGCTGTAGCAGTGCAAGGACACTGTGCTTGTCCCCTTTCTTACGCTGCTCTGCAAAGTCTAGGGTTAGGTTATTCCACCTTTAGTCCAGACCCTGTAGCACTTCTTACATGGATTAAACATGTCAAAAGGAAATTGAAAATTATTACAATGAAGACTCCCTGATTTCTCACAATCACACAAATCAGCATTTCTAAACTTCTTGCCATCATTATGACTCTTCTTCATGAGGATCCCTTTGCCTGAAGATGCACTGTGAGCTCGTGATCAGAGGGAAAATACTAGGCTGATTTCAAGGGAAAGAGATGACAAACCATGAGAACGGCTAATCACATCTTTGAAGTTCATTCCCATACAAACAAACACTAATTCCTGTTATTTTTATTAATCAACAGCAGAAGAAATGACAGGACGTGCTTTGCTACTGCATTGGTTATAAAAAAAATCTTCAGGATAGTCCTTTAGTAACCACTGGCTTATGCAAAAAGTATAACAGCTCTTCATAGGAGCTGTGGTTTATGGAATTTCTACAGACACTTTTGAGACAACTTGCTTTTCCTCAATCCAGGATGCATTTGGCTAAAGGACTGCACACAATGCCTAGTTTGGAATTGCTTTTTCTGGTAAATCTTTGACTCTTCACTTGCTCTGGGAACGTTGCTGCCCCCCCTCAGAGGATGTGATGCATTAGCTCTTGATAATGCAAGAATAGTAGGAGCTGACTTGTGAATTTAAGCCACATCTGGGAAGCAGACTTGGAAGATCTTCCCAGCCATGTTAGATGAAGAACATCATATTATAGTATGTGAGAATGTAGGCAAGCAGCAAGAGAGTATGTACTTAAAAGAAATCAATGTTCACTTTGAACTGTGAGATGGGAAATGGTTCCTACCACAAACACATTGTGTGCTATGATTTCCCACAGCAGGAGCAGAGAAGGCAGAGGAAAGGTTCAATCAACTCCTTCCTTCATAGTCTTAGTGAAGGAAGAGAGGAAAGCAGAGAGAAAATTCATACACTCAATCTTCTTCTTGTATAGGTGTTAGTTTTATTTATCTGGTATTCCTAATTTTGATTAATCTCCTTTGTCTCATTAGTCTAGATTAGTCTATTACTGTGCTTTTTCATCACACTCCTAGAAGCATCCCTCATATTCAGAAGTAATATTTTTTCCTACACTTTAACTGCAAGTCCTTCTTGCTGTTTGAAGGTGATTCTTCTGCTTTTATTGTCTCTTCTGATACTGGTCTCTTCTGTTCTTTGCGTAGGTTGACAGTTTCATTTCTTCTGGTCTTTATAAATTTCATTTTCCTGCCTGTCAGTGAAGGCTCCAGTTGAATACAGTGCAGAAGATCTCTGTGGTCATTTCAGTTGGTCGTGTCTCTCTTCCTTTTTCCCCATCTCTGATCTTCACCAACTTACAATATTCTTCCTCACCATAGATATTTACTGCATCTCCATCTTGCTATTAATCTCCAGTAAGCTGCTGTTCCAGGTTTTTAACTCATATCCACCTCTGTGGATATTTGCCATTTCTTCAGCTGGGTCTTCTTGTCTTCTCTTACTTTGACACAACCTAACTTCAGTTCCTATTTCTCTTACTTCATTCCTTCAAGTCTTGTCTGAACTTCTGCAGGGGCAGCAGCCAATGGGGAAATCCTCTCCACTTCTTGGACAGTGAAGGCCAAAGGAGAGTAAGAGCCAAATGCATTCTGCTGGTAGCACTGCTGCATGTCTGGGGGTCTACTCTCTATTTCATGCTAGATATAATTACTTGACAGCAGCCAGAGAAGTGGTTGTAAAACTTTTTCATGATTTACTGTCTCCAAATGACTGTTCAGTACGTGGTGCCTCAGAACTACTGTAAAAGCAGTCACTATGCCCCCACAAGCTGTGAGGCATGCAGCAAAATGCCTTTCTTTTCTGCAGCTCAGTGAAGGTGATGCTGGGTAGAGACAATGCACCTTCATGCAGAAAAGGATGCACTGCTGATGGTGCTTTGCTTGTATGTCCTTTAATAACAGCTGGGAAAACTGAAGCAAAAGTTACCCACACAAGAAAATCCAAATAGAAGAGTAAGATAACATGTGAGGGCTCATGTAGAATACAATTGTAATATAAACTTCTGTCAACAATGCTGCACCAAGGTCAGGCTTAACTATTTGACATAAGACCTGAACCACTGAACTGTCAGACATTCAAATATGACCTCATGGGAGAGCCTCATTCAATAACTCTCTTTATTGAACCCTTTAGGGTGAAAAGGGAGAGTTGGGTGTGATGGGATTGCCAGGTACAAGAGGACCAATGGGCTCCAAGGTTTGTTAACCAAACTGCATTTTCAGACATTGGTTTCTAATGCTCTGCTGACAGCTGCTTCCCTCATGAATTTTCTGGAAAGCATTTATCAAGATATATGTGTCTAATACAGATAAAAAATATGTTCTACATCAAGCAAGGTTATGTTGTCTGTTTGGGCTTGGCTGTGTTTTTGGCTTTTCATAAAAATGCTTTGTTATAAATTTTTGTAATTTATTTTAAAAGCAAGCTCAGATATAATTGTATCCCACTGGAAAAATTGAGTTCTTAAGCATATCTGCAGCACTAAATCATGTCTGCAATGCTTTCCACCTACCTCATAAGACTGTGAAGACCATTTTGGTCCCCTACTAGAACTAGGCATATTACTGGCAGTTGGAATAACTTATGCAATTAGTTTATTCAAATAAAGGATTGGAAAGAAGAACTGAACACCTTTGTTTATCCTACTTTTCTTCAAGAGAAACTCAATTTTATGTTAATGATCACACTAGATTACTTAAGTATAATTTAAGTATGTTCCAGGGGGAAAAAACAACAAACAAAGCAGAAGAGGAAGAGTATTGTTAAAATTATTTTAGATTATTAATTGTGTCTTCTAATGCTTTATTTACTCTCCGTTACAATTTCTTTCACTTGTTTAAATTTCAAAGCACAATCAAAGCTGCTGGCTTTACCTGGCTTTTTCATAATGGCTTTTGGGCTGAGCTGTCTTGCCTTTAATTCATACTTCACAGTTCTGTTTCAGTGCAAGTTTAGGAGCTGTAAATATTCATTTGCCTTTATGTGTTGATGCAATTAATTCTTTGTGCTTCGTTCTTTTTCTTCACTTCAAAGTTTGAAAGTCCGGCTTCTTGGGTGATCTTGAAAGCGAGAAGCATTAAAATGTCTATCATTCCCTTTAGGGTTTTCCTGGAACTAGAGGAGAAAAGGTCAGTGTGACAACAGCATAATGTACAATTTAACATTTGGAAACACATTTTTAAAAATGCAACTGTAGAAACAAGGTTGAATTTTGATGAAGTCTAAAAGTTCCACTGAGAGATGAAAACATATTGAGAAAGAGCCCAGTCTTGTGGCTTAGGCTGGGGTGCTGAAGAAGTGAGTTTTACACCCTGTATCCTCATGAACAATTTGCTACAGTGAAACTCACTACAGGTTCCCCATCTGCAGCATGGGTAAAATAATGCTTAATTGTTGGTCTGGTTTAGTTAGGTGACACATGCTTTGGCACTGAGACACTTTGTACTCTAGGATCTTACAGTGGGACCTGAACTGGGGAAAGAAGCCAACTGGGCAAAAAAATAAATTTGAAAGTATTATGTCCAGGAAAGCATATATTTAAAGTAATTATCTGGGGAGAATGACTCCCTTTTGCTACAGTCCTTAGCATTAATTCTGTTATGATATCAGTAATGAAGCATATCTCTCACTCTGAAGATATTACCGTACTCTGTTGACTTCAATAATGCATTGTATGGGAAAAAATATTTTTTGCTTCTTCATGAAATGGTAGTAATTAGGCTGTTGTTCTACTGCTATCTCTCTTCAGGGATCCAGAGGTGACAGAGGCGACAAAGGAGTCAAAGGAGACCCGGTAATTTTCTTTTCCAGATGGCTGTGAATGTGCATCTGAGGACCTGACAGGGAAAAACAGGAGAAGCATGCAGGAAAGGAGCCTGAAAGCATTTTCCAGGGAGGGCAGGAGTGGTGAGGGAAAGCAGTGGTCCCATCAGCTGGGAGGGCATGGGGCAGCTCCGTGTCCCTGTGCCCCCAGCCCGGTGCACAGGGGGTTAATGAGTCACAGGAGGGTTTCCCTGGAGTCACCCCAGCCCCTCCTGGGCTGTGCAGCCCAGAACCACGGCAGCTTCCCAAAATGCTTCCAGCTGGTCATATGGTAACACCAGGAGGGGAAAAGAGGGAGAGATTCATGCTTGGGGGTTCTTTGGACTAAGAAAGGAAAAGTAAACTGCTTTTGGTGCAAATGCAGAAATGCCATTCCCAGGCAGGCTTTGGGAGCTATCCAGGTAGCAGAGCTGCCTGTAGATAAGAGAACAATTGAGATGATTTTGCCAGAGAAGCAGAAACTGGCAGCAGAGGATCAGACAGAGGAATAATGGCACCATACAAGGAGCTTTATAGTAAAGTTTTGCTTATAAATCTCCATCTACTGCATTACCTGGAGTGCTGAGTCAGTGCAGGGGTTTTTAACTGATACCCACACATGGCACTTGTTTTTTTCCTTCCAAGGAAGGTGCTGCTTTGTCAAAGATCACTACACATTTTTTGATTCTTTTTCTCCTTTGACTTTGTAGGGAGAAATAGGCTTCCCTGGAATGCTGGGACAAAAAGTAAGTGGGCCTGATATGTTGGGAGTTGTGTTAAATGGTGAGAGAGGTTCAATGAGTGGATTCAGGGACTTCGTGGATGGCATAAGACATTGAAGGTCTTGCTTGACTCAGAGACCAGCATTGCCTGGACTTTATCAAATTTTTTAGGCTCTTTAGCTTAAGAGAAAACTCAGAGTTAGCTCTTTGATGCTGTTTCTCTTTCCCCCCCAGATTATTTCTTTAGTTATAATCTCCCTCCTATTTAAATGCCCTAATTGCTAAGGTTTTATTCACTTGAAACTAGTAAATATTTCCTTCTTGATACTCTGAAATAAAATGGCATTACTGTACATAGCAGTGATAACCCTGACCAGTTTTGAAGTCATCATTATTCTGTACTTGAAAAACAATAAGAATTCAGGTGCTGGCTTATGGAAAACTTAAAGGTGGATAATTTTAGTACATAATCAAACCATGCCTCTGAAATTAGAAAATGAATTAATAGTTGTTTCTAGAGAGATGAGAAGAGAGTGAATTTACCTTTCCTTTCCCTAAGTATTTTCATCATATGTGCATCTTAACAGCAAAGCAAGATATTGCAAAGAGGTCAGAGAGCTTTCCCAGCCTTGACCTCTCTAAGTGTGTTCCTGATCTCATGTGGCCTCTTCCTTAGGAAAGGATTTTTCAGGGGTATGTGGGTAAATTGTATAAGCTTCTTTTTACTTTACATTTGTTTTAAACTATTTTATTATAATTTTGGATTTCTAAGAAAGAAACAGTGCCAGCATTATCTAGAGGAATCGTGTGAATGACAACCATGTGCATCTGCTGTCTTGCTCAAGGCAGGTAAAACCATGTACTTAACTCCTTCTTCCTTCCCTCTGCACCCACCAAGGGAGAGATGGGCCCCAAGGGACAGTCTGGAGTACCAGGACACAGAGGACCTATAGGAAGACCTGGAAAACGAGGCAAACAAGTAGGACCACGGTGTTTCCTCTTCCTGTGACTCGTGGCATCTGTGTGACTGTGTGGTCTAAGCTCTGTGCCATGCACTGTGCTGCACAGGGAGTGGAGAGAAGCCCTAGAACACCTCACAGGCATGCACAGGATACACAGGAGTTAAAGCCTCAGTTTAGGGCTGGGGTCCTGTCTGCAGCACTCAGCTCCCTGCCCAGGCAGCATGGGAAAAGTTGTTTTTATCCTGGATTGGTAATGAACTCATTTAACACAATTCGAGCAGATCTTGAAGGCTTCCTTTGAATCCTAAGCAACACCCAGCCCCACCTGACAGCTAGAGAGCTCAGAATTATGCTAGAGGAGCTACATTTGCAGAGTTCCAGCTAAATTGTGAAGACTCAGAATTGTGTGTAAATTGGATACTGACACCACCAATACAGCATTTCAGTGGGAGAGGCTTAGCTGGAAGTAGTTTATTTGCAGTCTTGTTATGCCCAGCATGGCAAGGAGAGGCACATCCCTGTTTCACTGTTGCTCTGATGAGGACAGGTAATATCTGAAGTCACAAAGTAGCCAATGTGGGGAAAAAAGACAAGTTGGGTGTTAGGGAGGAAGTAAGAGATCCCCAAGTAAGGGAGGTATGAGTAATGTAAGTCTCCTAGATGACCCACAAGAAATGGTTTTTTGTCCTAGATTTGTCAGGTTTTAAAAGCTGCTGTGTGCTCTTTGCTAGTTTTGAGGGGTTTGCTCTTTTTTTTTTTTTTTTTTTAACCCTGTTTATCTCTCCTGCCTATGTGCAGTGGAATATCTTTTCACAGCATAAGACAAGAGAAGATGCAGTGCCTGCAGATCAACTTGAACACCGTGCACTCCTTATTTGACCTTTGTCACCTTACACAGTGGCTTAATAAGAAAGTGGTGACATAAGCATGTCATAATTTAAGACAACAATCAGTGTGACTAAAAGACCTGTAGTCTGCCTCTAGATTGGTGTTTCCAGTCCCAAGGCTCAGTACACAAACCCCTTTCTGGTGCCCTGAGAGCAATCTTATCATTGATTCAGCCTGAAAAAGGCTTTCCCTCCATGTAACTGGTGAACCTGCTATTTCCTTTCCTCTTTTCTAATCCTTTGAAAAAAACAGGGAGTGGCATTTTAAGGCTCTGTGGGTCTGGCTGCCACCTTTAAGTGCTGTAGTGGTCTGGCTGTTTGTCCAGCTCAGAGGATAGTTTCCACCAGCATGGGGCCATTTCCTGTCTCTTGATCCAGCTGACATGCCTAGATAAAAGCAGCTAAATTAAGCAGGTGTCACTTCCACTTCCATTTCCAGATATGTCTTGATTAGCTCACTGACTTCTTCAAGTCTCCCTGCCTCTGGGACAGGCTCTTCCTGAAACGTGGCCAGGAGCTGGGAGTCACAAGTCACAGCCTTACACAGCTGACCGAGATACAGCACCCAGAGCTTGATAACTTGGGAACTGACCCCAGGCAAACTCCAGTTTAGGGTTTCAGTCTTGAGAAGGAGGAATGACTTAGGGCTTTAGGTAATGCTAGTTTGGAAGAAAGGGCCTGAACACAAATATTGTCAAATGGGAAAAGCTTCTCCTAATGCCATGGGCACGTGTGAAAGATAAACAAGGCAAAAACATTGAACATCAACCCTTGCCATTATTATTTAATCCATCAGTGCTAGGCAGGAAGGCATTAAGCAATCATCCCTCCAAGCAGGGGACACAGAAAACAGCTTTTTTTCAGTCAGTACACATCCAACTGGCACTGCCTTGCCTCTGTCAAATTGCTGCTGTGTGGGGGAAGGAGATTTCCCACAGTCTTCTTTGGGGCTACAAAATCCTGGTCTGCTAGTTCTGTGTTGCATAATGTAAGAAGTAATTAGAGATCAGCATCACTGACATTCACATAAATCCTGAAATATTTTTATGGCTCAGAGCTTACCTAATAGGATTAAACAAAGCAAATATTCAATTAGTTCTTTATAGGCCATGGCAAAATCAGCCTTCCACTGCTGAAATGGTGCAAGCAACATTCAAACATATCCATACGATGTAACATATTATATAACAACAATTATTTCAGCATATATTAATATATATGCTTTGCTACTCTTAAATTAGGTAAGCAATCATTCATTGTATGATTCTGAACATACATTAACCTGGAATTACGTCATCTTCAAGGAAATAATCTCCTTTGTCATTAAAAGAAAGCTTACAGAACACACATCATTTTTATTATCCTAAATAATGTTTGCTGTTATATTAAAATCAAGTCAGATATTTAAACTTTAGGCTATGTAATACACTTCTGAAATATAAAGCTGAGAAATCCAAGCCTTGGAGAGTATATGAGCAGGAAGACAAATATAGTTATTTTTAATAAGTGTCACCGTATTAAATTCAGGAGCAAAAAATGAGAAGGTGTCAAACAGTTCTAGGCTGAAACTTCCAAATGCCTTAGGGTATGGCTGCACAAACAAACTCCCATGAGGCAAACTAGGGCTGATTTTTGAGAATATTAGTTATTGTGTGTGTAAGCCCCTCTCCCACAGGTAATTTTGCAGCATTTACTGCTGCTGCCAGAGGGACACCATTTCTCAGCATGGTGCTGCTAAACATTAAGCTACACTTTTAAGGCCAAGCCCTGGCTTGGCTTGTGATGATTTGTTATCCTAGCTATACCCATGGTGAAAGTCGAGGAGATAGAGGAATCCAGGCACCTCAAACATTCTGAAAATAGTGTGAGTGTCAAAGTCATCTGTGGGCTTCTGAAAGGCTGCACCCTGAGACTGGGAAATGTCACTGTGGAAGCCCTTGACAACTCCTCAGTGATTTTCCCCTTTCTTTCTCAGTGGCACTCACTTCTAGAGAGTTAGAGGGGTTAAAAAGGCATCCTTAAAGAAAGGCTATCAAATGATTGAAGTCAGAGCAGGGTGATTGCTGGCTCCTCCCAGGGCAGATCCCTGTGACCATTCCCTTTTGGGAGCAGAAGTCCTGCCTGGTCATGCCTTTTTGTCTCCACATAGGAGAGGAGAGCCCTTGTTCCCCGGGGTGGTGTCCATGAAGCTCATGCTTCTTCTGGCAAATGTCTTGGCTTTCTTAAATGGGAAGCCAGTGCTGGCTTGTTACTAAAGTTTGTTTGTTTTGTTTGTTACTAATAGCTTAGCCAGGAAATGGATGTCACTTCTCTTCCAGGGACTCAAGGGGGACATCGGACCCGCGGGTGTCATGGGCCCGCCTGGCAGGCCTGGCCCTGTTGGTCAGCCAGGCCCCCCTGGACCCTCAGGATTAGGTAAGCCAAAAATGAGGTAAACCAAAAACACTCCCCATGAGTGTCCCTGCTCCCCAGCCCCTCCTGGCTCATCAGGCACATATAGACCCCTCTGCACAAAGGCTTTGTTTGCTTCTCCATCCATGGCAAGGAGAGGATTTCTCCTGGAGGCAGGTCATGCCATCCTTGTCCACTATTTTAAAACCCACTTTGTGGCTTCTGATGTTTCAGATAAAACCAAACCTAAATCCTATGTGGTCCCTGAGGGATTTTTGTAGATGGGGACGATGAAAAGCCATCTGGCAGCTTTGGAGAGACTAGGTAATCTCCATCATCAAAGGTCTGCCTCTCCAGATATATTGGCTTGGAGTGAAAAACTGTGATTTCTAATCAGACAGGACAGGTTCACCCTGTGCAGCTCTGCAAGGGAAAAATAGATGAGATTCAAGTTATAGTGTCATTAAGGAAATAAGGGAAGAGAATGGAAAGGGATAGGAGTCAGGGGAAAAAGAGAGCAGTGGAGAAAAACTGTCTATATAATTAAATGCTTGAGATCTATGCTTACTGCAGTGTGTGTTGTACAAATTATGAGAAAAACCTTGTAATAACATAATTGTACATCCTCAGAGCTGTGCATGCACATGAACCCTGGTCAGCTTCTGGGTCCAAACATGGACAGGAAGGACAATACATGACCCACAACACACAATGTCCCCTTCCATTTTGCTTTCCCTTCCCTTCCCTTGCTTGCATTAGTGGACAGGAGGTCTCTTCTTGTGGTGGTGTGGAAATGGGACATCTGTGAAGCTGGGCACAGCTTCAGAATCTTCACATATCTCATGTCTCCCATTAAGAAGCATCTTTGCTTGAGTAAATAATTAGCTGGAAGCTTTCAGAAGGCAGAATTTTTACCATGCTGATGGGAAGGCAGCCAGGACCTTGAGATTACTTTTTCAAGGCTTTATTCCATCCACAGAAAGTTTATGTGTCAGGGTTATTAATCTTTTTCCTCTAGAATATAAATTCTGATCCTAAAAGACATTTCTGTAATGATGTCACTGCTTGCAGTATGACCATATTGGCTCATAATCTAAATCTGCAGAGCAGTACATCCTTGCCAAAGTTTGAAAGTCAAAAAGCAGTATTTTTAAATTAATGCTTAATTAAAACATTTAAAAACTCCTGTATTTTTAGTTGGGTTTTTACTGTCTAGAAACCTGTGAAACAGCATTGCTCAAGTGGTTGTACAAAGACACAAGTGCAATCTGTTGTGGACTTATACAGAGACTGACTCTACAAAACTTGGTGTGTCGGTGCTGTAGAGTGATCTGTGTGTTCATCCTCTCCTGAATTTCTGTAGCTTTAAACAGGCTGACATTCATTCTAAGCAAATGGTCTCTCTCTTCCTCTGTAAAACTAGTAGAAAAATACAGAAGGTGATCTGAAAGAATATGACTGTGGTAAAAAACTGGCATCTTTCTCCTGAAGTACTGGAATTAGTGCCTCTCTTCAGTTCCCAGTAGAATTGGTGGGAGCTGTGCCTGTCTGAAAACTTGGGTAAATGCATATATCCACCTGACTTCTACTTTTTCTCCTAAGGCTGTGTATGTGTGGTATGTAGTAACCTCATAACAAGGCAAGCTGGTCCTCTGCTTCCTAGGGCAATTTGCAATAGGACCAAAGGGAGAAAGAGGACTTCCAGGGCCTCCAGGGAGATGTCTCTGCAGAACGCCACAGCAAATGAGTAACCCATCATATGAGCAATCTGTGTTTGGACACAGCTACCCAAAAGTTCCTGCGGTAAGCAGCTTTTCTGGGAGGGGATGTGAGCAGTTCTGAAGTGCTTTTGTTATGAGAGGTGTTGTATTCACTAAAACTTTTTGTTTAATAGGAAGATATATAGGCAATGTGTGATTTCTAGTACCCAAAACCTCTGAGATCCAGAGGTGCAAAAGAGGTCAGTCTCATAACTTGTTGTGTGATTGATGTGCTGAAATGCAGCTGTTCCAAAACATCAGTAAGGTAGCACATGTTTGGAAATGTTTTTCAAGCCTAGGGGTGCTCTCTTTCATGCACTACTGTACATATGTAATCTGACCTTTTTGTTTCATTAAATCAAAATACATTTCAGACTGGTCAGTAAAGTAAGCATATCTTTCTTGTTTGTTTGGGGCTTTTTTAAGACAGTGATTATAGAATTGAATTTTGGGATCAAGCATTTCACATATGCAATAGAGCTTTCTCCGAGGGCACAGATCCTCAATGACAGGAGTTTCCACAAACTGTGAGAATCAGGTGTCTGGGCTCCAGTCTGCAGACATACACATTATATGGCTGATTTCTATCTCTAGCCTTGAAAGCATTTTTATGAGCAAATTGGACAAAATACTTTAAAGGACAAGGCATTGATGAAATGTAACCTAGTAATTTTTTATCACTGATTTCTTTGGGATTTATAACTACTGCTTATGTCCTTCTCCTTCTGCTGGGCCCTGCCTCATTAATCTGTGCAGTGCAGCACTCAGTCAGTGATGAAGATGCTCCCTTGGTGCTGTGTGCCAGCACAGCTCAGCCACTCCAGCCATGCAAGTGGAAATGGTGTGGTGTCTGCTTGTCTCTGAGTGCCAATGAGCAGCAAATAGCTTTGTCAAAGCCCCACCTGTCACAGTGTGAGAAAGCTGTCACGGTGTGTGGAAGGGACACACACAACACCATTACACTGGGTCATTGAGCTCAGCCTTTTGCACAAGTGGGTTTCAGGCCTTATCAGCTGTGCCAACTGCTCCCTCATCCCTGGCTGTGTTGCATGAGAAAAAACCCTCCTGTTGTTTTTGAAAACATAATGGTGAAAGATGAATGTGCTGAAATAAAGGTGCATATCGCACCACACCGTGCAAAAAACCCCACCATGTACTTTGCAGCCTGGAGAACTCATAGGAAAAGCTTTAAGGCTCTCAATATAATGTAGAGGTCTCATTACCCTTCTTCTCCATCAGGCACAGTTTCCTATCTTAAAAGATAGGATCTTAAAAGATAGTAACGATAGTAATAGATCTTAAAAAGATAGTAATGAGAGTGTAAATATCTAAAATACCATACACTATCACTATGAACTCCCAGGTGCCATTTTGTTGCCAGGAATGTGGGAAGGCAAAAAGGCAAGGCTTAACTCTGGAAATGAAGCACTTCCAGAGCAGCATTTCCTGTTTCCCTGCCTGCCCCATTTGTTTTACTCCCTCAAGTGTAAAGAACACTTTAACTTAAACTAGAGCTTAAACATCACTACTGTTTATTCTGACCAGATCCCCATGTAGCAGCTTTGAAGCCTGTCTTGGGCCTCTTGAAAGCTCTTGTCAGGGTTCTATAGCTGCACATGGAAAAGATCCAGAGATGATGCTCTGTGCCCTGGCCCTGTGATTTGGCAAAGCAGCACAACCTCAGTGTCATCACCCATGCACCCAGCAGCTCCTCCAGAGGAGGGCAGAGGCTGAGAAACAAAGTGCTGTTTTTCTGTCACTGGCTTAGATTCATTCAATTTTTTTAAATCTTGTGCAATTTTAAAGGCTGATATCTGTAATGGTCTGAGACAGCATAATTTTCTTATTGATTCAAGAGAAATTGGAGCTCTGGAGCTGGGCCCTGAGCTCCTGAACACAATTACAGAATCAGTTCTGTGCTGGCTTCCTATTTCTTTGCTTCCTTTCATTCAAGCTGAAGGCATTTTTATTCAATGCTTCTTTAATGAAATTGGCATTCGTCCAGGGTAATGGGAATGTTCTGCTATGTAAAAATTTCAAGGTGACTTGTTTTTAAAAGAGCCAATTCTGTTTATGTTGGTGAGAATCAGACTCAGACCTAAAACTATTTTGCCCACAAACACTCAATTTGCTTTTTCTTAATTTAAAAATGGCTTGACTCTTACAAAAAATTAAATTGACTTAGCTGCTGAGGAAGAGATTATTTCCTAATGCCAATTTCAGTGACTGAGACATTAAAGAAATGGGTAAGAGAGCAGCTTGTCCTAATTTTTCCATTTTGAACTATTTTTTTTTTTTGCAGTATAATTGGAGACTTGGCTTCAGACCATAGTATATGCATATAAGGAAACATGCATTTTAGTGTCAATTAAATCTAAGGAAATAACAAAAAGGTAAAAGTTAAGTGAAGGTTGTATTGAGTGATGCATTATTTATTTTGTAGCCACAAACATGCCTAAAAAATTATAGTCAATCCACAAAAAGCACTTATGTCCATTTGGATTTTGCAATTGCTTCAGCATCAAACCATTTGAGCATCAGAAAGTTCTTCTCAGCAGTGGTTGTGCACGACTATTTGTATGATTTTTACTTGAGGATGTGCATTTCAAAATAGGGGCCCAGGAAACACCATTCTTTCCATGGGTGTAGCTTCTCACCTCTTCTCTTTCTGAAAACAACTGAACCATTTTCCTGTATATTATTTACCTATTTGAAGATACATATGCCAAACTAGATTCTGTGATAATCCAAAGAACTTCTTGAGAAGGTTACCAATCACCTCTTTTTGTGTGCCCCAGATTTTTGTGGTGAATAATCAAGAAGAATTGGACCGGTTAAACACCGAGAACGCATTAGCATTTAGAAGAGATCAGAGATCTTTGTATTTCAAGGATACATTTGGATGGCTCCCAGTCCAGGTAAAAATATGACTGTGTTCTCAGAAAGCCCATGGGTGTATGTTTCATTTTGGAATACAGAATGTACTTCTGTACTTAAGGTGTCCTACCAAATCAGTTAAGCAAATGGGGAAAAGCTCATTTTTGAGCACTGCCACAACTGTACATAATACTGTGAATTTTATTCACAGAAGTCTTAATTACTGAGGAATTAACTCAGCAGTGTTGCAGGTTTTGCTAACCTCCCCGTGAACCACTGGTGAACAAACTGGAGCAGAGTTCAGGGAATTGTGGTGGTAAAAAGAGTTTTTATTTAATACAAAATAAGGCAAAACTCACCAGGGTACAGAGTTGCAGAACTAAAACCCTGCAAACCAAACTCACATATTTCCTTATTGCTTCAAGGAGCTGAGCCCTGCTGAAATTAGCAACAGCATCCTTCTTGTGTCTGCTGGACTTTGGATCAGATTCTGTATAAACCTTCTAACCAACAAATAACAAGCCATAAAAACCTGGTTGTGGGACCTGCCCCCTAGAGCCCTTCTCCTCTGCTTGCTAGCCAGGCTGCTGCTGGTCTGGTGCAGTAACCCCTGTGTGTTTGCCTGGCCAGCTCTCCCCTCTGTACCCCATGGATTACCGCCTGGAGGAGGGGGGCACCTGTGGCGATGGCATCGTGCAGGATGGGGAGGAGTGCGACGACGGCAACGCGGTGGTGACTGATGACTGCATAAGTGAGTTACAGCACAGCAGCAGGGGCTCCTTCCTGCCAGGGAAGGTGCATCAGTTGTACCACAGGGTACACTGCTAGTGTGTGGGAGAGCTCGTGTGGTTTGTGGATCAAGTGCAGGCCTGGGGAAAGGGAGGCACGATGGTGAAAACTGAGGCTTCCATGCATGTGGATGGCACACACCACACAGGACAGAGGTGGCAACAGCACTTCTCTACATCCTAGCTGAGTCAGACACTCTGCATTTCAGGGGCCAACTAGCAGCTGGTTAACACACACACCTTTCCTGGGGGCTGCCAGCTCTCTCTAAAAGCTGTAGCACACCTTTGTAGTGCAGCACAGCCCTTGGGATAGACACTGAAGCCCCTGGGATAGACACTGTTACTTATGATAAAATAGATCCCAAGTCCAGAAACACCACTCTGGATTTTGTTATTCACTTGCAAAGGGAAGGTGTCAGCCCACTACCTTCAGTATCAGGTTTACATAACATTTAATTCATGTCTACTCCATCTTCCTTCCGTTTTGCTGACTGTGGATAGCAAAGAGCTTACAAGAATTTGAGCAGCTGTGGTAACCTTCACCTCCTCCTTTCTCAGTTACTTCTACATCTTGAATCCTTCCCCAGAGCACAGCCCTACACCATCTCCACACAGTAGGTTTGGTGCTCTGTTGTTCCCAGCAAAGGGATGCTTCTTCACATTTCAGAACACTATCACCCAACACTGAAAGATGCAATTTTTCATTTATATATCACTCACTGACTGAAAATGGGATGTATGCAGCCATGCCCTGTGCGAGTTTCTCCATCCAGCTGTCCATCACCACCCTTCCCCTTATGACTTAGGAATCCCAGCCAACTTCTCTATGACAACAGGAAAGAGATTTCAAAGGCAATTCCATCTCAACAGGTCTAGGGAGACACATAAATAAAAGCCCCTCTAAGCTTGCCTGACTGCAGAGTACTCCAGAGATACAGCAGACAACATCTCTCCTGTTTCCAGACATGAGGAAACAATTAAATTAGAACTTGAAATCAGCCATGGGGAACAACCATGTGGCAAGATAGTGTTCATTAGTTCCAGTGCCTGCAAAACTGTGCATTCTGTGTCTGAGGGCACATCATGTTCTCTGTGCTAAGCACTGGGCAAAGCCTCAATGGAGGCCTTGCAGTACACAGATTTCTGACACTGATGTGACCCATCCTTGAGTTATTTGGAAATGAGCATGCTGTCATCATTCTTCTCCTGTAACTGAACCAAAAGGAAAAGGCTAGCAGAATGTTAAATGGATTTTATTGTAAAAAAGGCTTGTTGGTCTTCAAGCATCAATTTCTGACAAACGCATCCTTGGTGCAATTAATTAATAATTTCTATTTGTAAATAACCCACTTTAGCCTCTACAAAACTCCCTGTTCCTGTCTGCTTAATCCTTCGCTTGATACCAATGGATTCTCCCAGAAGATGTCAAAGGGATTTTAACTAAAATAATTTGTTCATGTTAGAAAGTCATTCTCAATGTGCTGAAGATACCAAAATCAAAGTCCAATTGCTAAAATGGCAAACAAACCCACAAATTGCTGCAGCCTACATGTCAGTCACCACGAAAAAATGTGACTCACGCTCAAGTCAGTAGGAATCAGCAGTGGGAAAGACACGATTTTGGCAACATTTATATATTTTATTTCTTTATAGACAGGCTGCATAATTTCGTTCATATGTGGAAACTCACAGCAGACAAACACAGATATTGCACAGAATTGGATAAAGGTCTAGGCTGGGAATTCCAAACCAGTTAACCACCTAAGATTATTTTTTTGAGATTGTGACTTCTCCAAATCATTTATGTTAACTGTATTTTATATTTCCCTTAACTTGTTTTGATGGTAATTATCTATGGCAATAATAAGTTTTGAATAAGTGCTGTTGTAATTAGTGATTCTGTAGTAATTATTTTTAGTATTTATCCATTCTTTCCCTTCATCACTGAAATTAGCCTAAAAAAGTACATTCTTTGTAGTGAAGAGTACTGCTCCTCCTAAGACAGTCCTTACAGAATGCCTTCCCCAAAATATCTTGCTTAATATTTAACCTAAAAAAGCTAGTTCCAGTTACTTCACCTGTTTCTTTTACATGTGAAGTGCCTGGAAGGTGTTTATTTCTTTATTTTTCACTAGGGTGCCGCCGTGCTTACTGTGGAGATGGCTACAAGCACGAGGGGGTTGAAGACTGTGATGGGATGGATTTTGGATACTTGACATGTAGAACTTACCTTCCTGGGTATGTAAGAGGAGGTCTTCACTTTGGTTTGGTGGGTTTCCTTGGTTTGTTTATGGAGGGGGCTTTTATGTGTGTGTTTCCTTTCTTTTTTCTCTTTTCCAGTTTTAAAACAGAATTTTACCCACTTAAACCGTGTTCCACTGGGACCACTGCAAGTAGCAGGGGAGAAAGAGTCTGCCAAATTATTTCTGTATATCATTGACTTTAAGGGCTCAATCTCATTTCACAGTAAGAAGTACATGCCTCTTACTGTACAAAACAAATGAAGGTCACATAGACCTATGTTTGCCCATTTCTTGCCAAAATTTCCTTATCTGGTCACATTAATGTCCAGCCATAACATAAGGAAAGTAGGAAAGACCATGACAAAATGATCACACTGAAGGAAAAAATCCCCACAACATCCAAACCCCAGGCTTGTACCAACCTCTTGCTGCCCTTCCTATTAATGGGTACTCTGGGGGTGTATTTGCTTTGAATCAAGCAGTCATCTGTCAGCTTTTCCAACGTACAGGAAATTCATTCACCAGCAGATGCAAAGCCATGCATCTGTGTAGCAAAGTCCTTCATTTAAAACATCTGCTTACTGTTGACTTGCCTTCTCTGCCTTTGTTTAGGCAGCTCCCTACGGTCAGCGCTTTGCCTCCAACAGCAGCACCTCTATTTAGCTGTCAGGTATTGTTACTGGCTAGCAGGAAACATTTAATTTGCAAATTGAATTACGTGCAGAGCCCTCATCATTCAAGGAACAATAATGTGCTAATTGACAGGAATAAGAAACCACAGGATGTCTTTGTAAATCTAGTGCTGTGCTAATCCTTCCACTGTAATTGTTGGAGCACTTTTGGTATAAGAGGTTACTAAAATCTAGACCAGTCAACCTGACAAAACTGAAACATTTTACAGAGACCTCATCTTCAGACAGTGTGGAGTTGTTCTCTATTGTGAAAACTACTCCCTTCTAAGAGTCTGAAACTTGCTGCCCAACATAGCACCAAAAAAGCTTGAGGAAAACTTTATAAATTTCACTTTGCTTGTATATTCAAGTTGTGGAAGAGCAACTGAGATCTTTTATTTTTGTGTGTAGTCTGCAAATTATCTGCCAAACTAAAGAAAAAGCTGTGAATCATGAGAAAGTGGGCTGAGTATGTGAGTATAACACTCCCATGGGAGTTTTACCCCGAGGTAACCTTTCCTCCAAGAGCTCTGCTGCAACTGATTTTCCCATTTTTTCCTCTTTCCAGCCCACAGATCCCTCCTCCTGTTTCACACACCTTCTCCAGATTTGATGTTAGTCTGAGAATGTGGGTTATCCTAGGACGTAGTTTTAAAGCTGCATAGCTTGACATTGTGGATGGGTTATTCACTTAGACATTCCAGCAATAAAAACTCATTTAAATTCTTATTAACAGTTCTGGTCAGGTGTTCAGTAGGTAGAGTCACTGCTCAGTTTAAGTCAGTAGAAAGACAAAATCTCTGTTTCTCCTTATTTTGCAAGAACTCTTCAAATTACTCTTTTTATAATTATTTCTAATGTGGGAATGTGTCACTCTCGTTATTTCAAGTACATGAAAAGGAAGTTAAAGGACAGGCACAGTCATGCCTGCTGAAGCTATTGGGAGTAGCTGGAAAAACACTTAACTCAGAGCCTCAGATATTTTGTTCCACAGCTCCCGTGGGTGAGCGCCAGGGCCTTTTGCATCCACCCCCATGAAATGCTCCAGTCCTGATGCCAACAGGGATTTTATTTTTTTAATTGACATTACTGGGAGTTAAGTCTTCACTCATAGTTTCTCCTGGATGCCTGTTTTGCTGACAGAGGAGAACACAGTCGAGCACTGATGAAAATTGCCCTCCTATTTATTTTCCCATATGCTGCTGCATATGCATATTCTGAGGTTCTTCACTCCTACAGAGCTACAACCAGGAGCCATGTGAGTGAACCATACCATGCTTTGAAACTGAGATATTCTCTTTTATTCCAGGTCTTACGGGAAACTGCGCTGCACTCCTTACTGCTACATTGACTCCACACAGTGTCGATACTTCACATGAGGGGAGCAGAGGTGGGCAGCATCCCTCGCCTAGGGGTGCTAGGTGCTACACTATCACCTACCCCAGAAGGACTGGGACAAAAAAAACCCCACCCACCTCTGGGAAAACAAACAAAGACACATCATGCTGCTGATGGCCATTCTGAGATTTTTTTTTTTAAATATAGATTTGTCAGATAGGGAAAAATAGGACCACTGCATCCTGTCTTAATAGAGAAATAAATGTCAAGCTGTGTGTGCCAGTGAGACTTCCATGCAGCTGCGGATGGCTCTCCATCACAAAAGCAACATTAAACTACTGGAAGCTGAGTTTCATTAACCAGGAATGCCATGTAACAATTACCTCGACTTAGCACTGTTAAACCAAAATATAATCTCTTCAGGGGTTTTGTCTTTAACCCTTCTCTGCATAAACACAAAGCATATCTTGGATGCGGTGTTTAGAGGAACTTTCTCTTTTATTACAATGTGAACTTAGCAAGTGTTATATCCACTAGAGATGACTTCAGCAACTCTAAGGTTACCAATGCTTCTTCATTGGTCAAAGGACTTAAAGTTCTTTCAGAATCAGCAAATCAGTCAAATAAGCTGGTTAACATCACCTTCAGGCGAAGGCGTTGTCTGTGTGTGTCTGTGCACTACAAGCAGTCACGGGAGGCTAGCAAAACACACCACAAAAGGACAAACTGGACAAATAAACTGTGAAATAGCCAAGAAGTTCTCTCCCAGGAGAAAATCAGACAAGGAGGGAAGATAAAGAAGGAACATATTTCTGTATTTTTCTCCTCTGTGCTGAGCTGGCTGGGCTCTGCCTGACCCCAAGGGGCTGGGACAGCATCGCTTCCCTGCCCAAAACCACGGCCATGTACACACTGTCTTCTCTCTGGTGTCCACACTGGAAGGTCTTTGCATTTGCAACCCCTTGTCCACCCAGCCATCACCACTCAATTCCCAATTATCCCCTGTGCTGTTGCCCCAGTGTGTGTGCTCACTTTTGTATCGCTGTAAGTCAGACCGTGGAGTAGCGCCTCCATGGATGCTCGGTCATGCTCTGCAATGTACATGTGGGTTTTCATTTTTTGGCAAGGTCTCTCAACTATATCAGCTCTGGTTGGAGTCAGGTAATTATATACTTATTTATTAGCAAGTAGTAAAGAGCAAATTTCACATGGAAAGCATATTAAATGTCACATGACAAAGAGTCTATAACAGAAAATGAAACAAGAATGTGCAGAATTCAGGACTAAAAGCCTTAAAACTAGGCATTATTTTCATACAAGCCACTCTTCCCTGCTTTGTGGTAAATGTTGTACAGGACTGTGTGAAATGTGTGAGTTATCTGTGCCAGTGACAGCGCTGCAACAGCTGCACTGACACTGGCACTTCTGTAAAGGTTAAATAAAGGTGGATGTTGTGTTACAATGATAATGCATTAAAGCGATCAAGAAACACATGCAACTTTTACCACCTGCCTAGAAGACTTTAACTATGCATGTATAAAGTGATATTGGAAATCACCAATTAACAACAAAAAAAGAAAGAAAATTTGTGTACTCTTCATGATTATCACTTACCTGGGCTATTTATGTTGCTATGAAGCCAAGTCACCAGCATTTGTAGCCCAGTTCAACAGTTTAATTTTTTTTTTTCGTAACTGAGGTCTTAATAAAAGGTCCAGGAACCACTGGGACAAGAAAATTGCCACAAACTCTGGAAACCTGGGCACTAGCACAGCTGCCTTTTTAATTTCCTGTGCTAGAGCAAGCAGCAGGTTCCAGCAGCATCACACCATGAGGAGCAGGTTCTGGTTGTTGGGAGGCTCTTGAGGACAAACACACTCCCAGCAGCACATCCTGCTGGCCATCCCCCCCTAGGTGAACCCCTGGCAGAATCTGCTGGTGTTGCCATCCTGGGGTGGAGGCACTCCATCTGAACTGCTCACCTTCTCCAAGGAGTTAATCTCAACCCCCCAAAAGGCTGGAGTCTCTGAGAAGTTGGTCATTCCAGTGGCCTTTCACCTTCAGTTTTCAGTTGGATCGTTTTTCATTAAAAGCTCCTACCTCCAAGGGACATTGAAATAACAAAGCTATGTGCATGGATCATAGAAAATGTAAAGAGGAGATGTGGTCATCCAGGTAAAATACTGTGCTGCTTATGTTCAGAAAGAGGCCTATCAGCCTGGTCAGTCTGGGAACACTTGCACAGCATGGATTTTAAATGGACAAAGCAATGTAAAATATAAGAAAACAAAAAAAAAGTTTCATACTACCATTACTGTCTTGCTCCCCTCAGAAGATAAAGCATGAAAAAGACACCTGGGAAGGTGTAAAGTATATATGATTTAAAATGCTGCAAAAGAAATCCTTTTTCCCCATTACTGACATACCTGATGTATCATCAACTGGGTATTCTTCAGCTGGGTGATGCCTGGTCTGCTGCAAATTGTCTTCCCTCCTTCTCTGAGTTTGGGAACTAAAAACATTGTGCCAAGACTGGTTCAAAAGTTAATTGGAATATTTCAATTCATTGGACTTTTGTAGTAGCATGCACTTTTGGGAGAGTTTTCTAATGATTAGTATGCAACTCTAGGCAAGTACAAAGTATTATGCCATGCACTGTATTAATGTATACCAAAAAATCTGGCTTGCACTTAATATGTGATTAAATATATGTAATTGCCTACTGCATATATTAGCAGCTCATGTCAATAAATCATATTACCTTAGTTCCCCTATGTCCTTACTTTCACTTATTTAATTTTGGGTTTAACAGCATGGTTTTAAAATATAATTACCTAGTTAAAGATGCTGAGGAGGGAAAAAACACCTCTTTTCCCCTGCCTGCTGCCTCTCCCTGCCTGCCGTGGGATCTGGCTCTGTGTGGGCACAGGGATGTGCACACAGCCTGGGAGTGTGACTGTGTATCCCTGCTCCTGGGCTTGCCACTGCCTCATCCCTGACCCCTGCAACACACCATGGGCAGAACAGCTCCACTTCCACTGATTTCTGATTGGAATCTGTAATGTACTTGGTTTTAATAAGGCTTTGGGCTGTGGTTTGGGGGATTATCTGCTCCTGCTACCTGATAATGCATTTACTGGCTGCTTGTGACTCTGTATCAGACGCTGAGCTGTGAAACAGAAAGCAGCAGCCTCGGGTGCTGATGGACAATGGGAATGGTGATGTTGGCATCCAGGATTTGGGCACTCCTGGAAACTGGCACCCAGGCTTTGGGAAGAGGGTCCTGCCTGCTTCCAGAAGAGGGTCCTGCCTTGCAGCCTGGGAGTCTGTGGTCCCAAGGCTTTTGTGTATGACAGGGAGCTCCAGAGAAGGGCAGTCCTTGCTGTCCCCAGGGGAAAAGGAAGTGTATTGACAGACAGAGAATAAGTGAGTCTACTTTCTGCCTTTTTTTTCTAGAAACTCAGTTTCTGTGACACTCACCTCTCAAATGCCTGTGTCATTTCTCCCTTCCCTTCAAATTGCTCAAAATCATAGCTGTCAAGTCTGTCCTTGTCCATAAATCTGGCCGGCCATGCACCTCATCTCCTTATTTCTTTCTTCTTATTTCCTCTAAAGACACCGAAGTTCACGTCCTTTGTAGCCTCCTGAAAACTCTGCAATGCCCTTGTTGCTCTGTTGGGTTTCATCAGCTTCTCTTTCAGTCTCTCACACCATCCCTTTTCTAACATCTTCTGCTTGTGACAGCCCTGCCATATGTCACAGCAAAGCCCCTTGGTCATGGTCCTTACCTTCTAAAAATTGTAGGATGCATTTCCCACTTCAGCCCCACCCATTTGTACAAGGAGAGAGGGGATTGATGCTTATCCTTAAACTGCAGGTCTCCAAGAATTGTCCTTGAGCACCAGCTGTTTATAAGGAATAACAGTAGTAAGTCCCCAGTTAGCTGTATTGGGGACAATTCAATACACTTGGCTGCCATACAATCAGGAGATGTATTTTAAAAAGATGACCAAAATAAACCCAAGAGAAGGAAATCAGTGCTGTGCTGTGATTCTTTGCTGATATTTAAGTCTATCACACACAATGCTGCAAGGAGAGGTTTACAGAGCTGTTGGAAAATTGACATTTTAATTCACAAAAGGTGAAGCAATGAGAGCACTTTCTAAAAGACTTTCACGTTCTTTCTCTGATAGCTTTTGCCTAAGGAGATGGAAATGGCAAAGCAAGGGTCCCTTCCCAGGAAACCATTCCCTTGCAAGGAAAGCAGAGAATAATGGGCTGTTGAGCTCTGCTACAGGCAGCACAAGGTACTGGCAAAAGGACAGGCAACAGGTGAATGCAAAATTTAGATCAGGAATTTGGATCAGAGTAACTGATGCTTATTAATCTGCTAAGAGACCATACAACTTGTAGACCATTAGAGCACTGTCAGGCCTTGACCAAAGAGAGAAAGGGAACAAAGCCTAAGCAAATGAGCCATTTGTGTCTTTAATGAACATAGTCAGTGAAAACTCCCCTCAATATTAATATGTCCAGTTACATGCCCAGCAGTGTGCTCTATGCAGAAAGCTGGTGTCACTCCAGGGCCAAAAAGGCCAGAGCAAAGCCTGGGCACATGCTTTCATTGCATCAGTAATTACTGGGGCACTTAGGAGGATGGCCCTGAACCAGCCCAGCCAGGGAAGGCTGCATTTGAAAGGATGGCCAGGCCAAATTATATTAGAGGAGTGTACTCCTGATGAAAATTACATTAGTGGCTACTTCCCTCTCTCCATCCCTGGCAAAATCTTGGCACTTAAAAGGCACTGAGTTATAGCCCTGGCCTTTTACAGCTTTTAATTCACTCTGACAGTTTCCCTGAGCATCTGAGGGAGGGTCCAGTTTGGATGCATAATCTTCTCCAGTGACAGAGAAGAGGGTTTAAGCCGACATATTTTGCTGCAGCCTTCCCACACACTACTGAGGAAGTGGCCCTCCTGCATGGAGTGCTGCCCAGGATTTTCTTTGGAAAGGAGTGGGAAGGAGAATGGTGGAGCTGAACCCCTCAAAGTCACTG